GTACTTCAAGTCCTGTGCAAAAACGCATGATCGCACGGGCCCGCCCGGTGCGTCCCAGCCTGGGTTTTACTTTTGGTCTTGCTTCATTTTGGAATTCGGCATCCGCCTGAATTTAGGCTTCTTGTTCAGATTCTGATGTTGGTAAAATTTGTTTTAGTAGAAACGCAAACCAGCAATAGATAGTTCAAAAAATACAGCGGTTGGATAGGTAATAATAATGCTGATCATCGAAAAAGGGGTTAATTGTGAAGTGTTGGAAAGAGGGGATGAAGTATGATGGGGAGGAGAATTTTAATAAAAACAGAATGAAAAGTAAATTTAAAATGACAGAAACTGAAATAGTGGATTTATAAGAATCTTGGCATTTAGGGTACAGATAAAGACAGCGGGGCTAAGGATGTGCACTGAGAAATCTGTAGAAATGTGATTGTAACGTAGTATAGTGGTTGAGTACCGAAAAGCGAAGCGTCTATACTGGATATTGGATTTTCTAGGGAAGCCGGTGACACGAATCCCGATAATGGCAAAACAAGTGCTCGACCTGTATGAGCTCTATCGATTGGTTGTACAGCATGGTGGTCTGGTGGAAATTATCAACAAAAAACTGTGGCGAGAAATCACCAAAGGTCTCAATTTACCATCATCCATCACGTCGGCTGCGTTCACTTTGAGGACACAGTAAGATTTTTTTTCCTCTTTTGACTTAATTCACCGTTTTGGTTTTTCGACGGTTCTCTAGTTTTTAAACGGTTCTGGTTAAGTCGGTCAAGCAAAAGCTAGGATGACCAGATGCTATAGAAGTTATTCTAAATATAAACAGAACAGAATTATGTATACGGCAGCTTTTGGCTTATAGATGCACTGTCCGATAAATTTCTCCACACTCCGACAAAATTTCTCCATAAATGTTTTCTCAAAAATTTAAAAAAGTTTTCTTTTCCTGTGTACCCATAAAGAATTAATGATTGAATAGTTCCGGTTATGCCTGTTGTGGACAGAAGCAAATTTCATTCTCACTTCACTTTAGCAAAACTGTCGAAAGCTGAATCTCCAGCAATCACTGTCAAATTCTGTCATAGACATTTTGATGGAGAGCGAAACAATGCTACTTGTACGAAGGATGAATTGCTGACCAGTGTAGAGAGATGGATTGTAGATTTGTCATACAGATTTGAAAATATTCAGCTGCGTTAGCTGGATGAAGGATGAGGATGAGGGAAGGGTAAGAATGAGGTACACAACGGGTCTTACATTCAGATGATGAAGCAGAGTTTTTGGACGAATGTGATAGATTTCCAATATATTATTTTTGTTTCTGACAGATCTTATATAGAGCCAACAGTTAACTGACCGGATGCTTAAGATTAAATGCACTGCTTTTCTGAAAAGCATTAATTAACGAAGACAGTTATATTTTAAAATATAGCACATGGTAACTTCATTGCCATTGTTCTTATCAGTCGCCAGTAATCTTCGTCAGGACTTTCAGCGTAAAGATTTTGGTGCTACCAAAAGGACCTTATAAACTAATTACATCAGGCATCAGACATTTACTTATTTTCATTTTGTTTTTTTAAAATTAGTCTCTCTTTATCCCCCGAAATTACAACTTAGTCTCTTATACAAATTTATTTCATTTTATTTATATCAACACTACAGCCATCATACTGGCTAAGTCCAGCTGTGCTGCTGAATGGAAATGTCCACGACTTGTTGGGCCGAAAAATTCCCGTTTATTTTTTATCTGTCATAATTGATATCTTCAGTATCCCTTGTAAAAGATTTTGTTCATCTTCTTTCTATTATAATAATTATTATTGGTATTATTATTGTTGTTATTATTATTTTGTTATTGTTGTTATTATATCATTGTTTCTTACCTTATTGCCACTGTTGCTTTTATTGTTTTCTTAAAAAAATCTGCTTACGTCAGGAATGACCTACAATTTTTCATGACCGCTGATGCCCAAGATTTTTCCCTATTTGATACTTTGGTCAATTGCAGTTCTCCATTTGTCCTGGCAAATTTTCTAATTGCTTTGACTAATGCAGTGTCATCTCTTGAACAGCTTGCTGGTGATTTTGATGCTCCTTTCTTTTCCTGAAGGAGCCAGGAGCTCAACGGTCTTCCTGGAGATACATAATAACATTTTATCGCATATTTCGGTTCCGATATGAAAGAATTGCAAAGCATGGGAAAACTTTGGAACTAATCCTGCCGTGCAATTCCGGCACACTCTGACCTACGAAATTAGGTCTTACTTCAGGAGACGGAACCAGCGTCAAGATCTCCAGCAGGCTGTTTATCGGACAAAAAGAATTTCCTCCGAAATCGATGAATCTGTTGAGTACCGTGCGAAAATAGTCTCAGTGAAAAACTGTGGAGTGGGTCTAGGTTTTTGGCAAGAAATCGTAATGTTGATGCAATTAGTTTTTGATCCGAATTTCAAAAAAAAAAGACGCACTTCGGATCTACTGCCAGATGTTCAGGAATATGGATATTCTCCACTAATTTGTTGAGAAATTAGGCTTTTTTTTCAGCAACGCCGGAAAAAGCTATAAAATTTTTTACTGTTACAAATAATATCTGTTTACATATCGTGGATGTGATTTTTAAATGAAAAGAGGAAATTGGGGTATAAAATTTTGAAGGAAGCGTAGCCATGATATCCTGAAACAGGGTTCATTTTGGAAAATTTGGGGTTTTCCTTGGAAGGGTTAAAAGGTTTTCCTTTCTTTAGGGCCTCATTTTATTAGCTAAGTAAAGAACGAAGGGAGGACTGTTTAAAGTTCACAACGCCTTTTTTTTCCCAGTGACTTTTATGTTCCCAAATAGAGTGAAAATAATCCACATGGCTCCGTTTGAGTACCAGTGATGCTAGATTCTGTATTCTGACTTCTTTGGCCGACAGTTGCGTCAGTAGATTTAGCAAAAGTAATAATTCAGTTCAGGTGATGCCAGAGAAATTTTTCTTGCCTGTCATCATTCCTGGAAGTATTTTTCCTCGCAAATGATCGATCGGATCAAATTTCGTCTTAGTATTGTTTTTTAAAAAACTTTCAGAGTTTATATGATATTCATGTTCCCTTCACTTCACTGCACCTCTTCATATGTCGTGCCATTTCTCATTCCTCTCAATCTTTTTTATTCATTTTTCCTCAAATTCTTTGCAAACTGTCATTAGTTGAGGAAGTGGAGAGATGAAAGCACATCTTCACTTCAATTTCGCTGAATTTTTTTACAAATTTTTCTACCTCTTCTCCATTGAATTGTTTCCGTTTTTTCGACCTGAGCAATGAGAAGAGTTCGCGATAAAGAAAGACCTGGAAAGTCTAGCCTCCCTGCCCCATCATCGAATGACGAAAACAGCTGTTTTATTACGACGCGTAAAGAAAAATAACAAAATTTCAATAAGCGAAATGAAATCTCCACTTCTCCGCTTTAGCTTGGAATTTTAGTCTGCTGCTAAAATGATCCTGCAAATTCTTCGAAAGCAAAAATGTAAAACTTTTTTCGAACACACAATTTTTCAAAACAAATAAACAGTGCGCATCAGCAGATCGAAGCTGACATTCATTTTTGCATGCAAAAGTAACGATAGAAAACCAGCTGATTAAAATGCTGATGAGTTAACAGACAGTTGGTTGGTCGGCGTGCTATGTTTGGTCGGTGAATTAAAAGAGCCATGCGCTGAGCTACTAACCGAATCAGTAATTTATCAAATGAAGCGGTAATGAGTCAAAAAAAAAAACACGGAATCATCGGAAAGTAGCGCAACATAATATGAAAGCGAGCAGTCAGTAAGATTCGTTTTTGGGACGTAAGCGCACAAACCATTAAGTATCAAATAGTCTGCCTTTTATATAGTGATACCATTTCTTGATTTTTTCGTGTCACAAAAAAAAAAATAGGGAAAAGACGATGGTTTGCCTACGTTCTATAGCGTGTGCATTTGCTAAATGATAGCGAAAAAGCTTAAAGATTATAACAACTGAAAGAGTTAATCCTAAGCTAAAAAGCAACAATAATAGCTTATTTCGCTGGAACAGAAAGGCTGATTTCCCTGATATTTTGTTTTCTTGTTTTTATTTTTACCCATTTCATTTTTTTCTTTTTTTTATTTTTATTCATTTCATTGCATTTAGGTACCAGAAATACTTGTATGATTATGAGTGCGAAAAAGAAGGGCTTAGTACGGCTTCGGATTTACAGCAAGCAATTGATGGAAATAGGCGTGAAGGGAGGCGGAATACCTCTGCCTCCTCTAATTATCCACAGGTCGGGTATTCGGTCGCTGCCCAACACAATTCATCATCGCTGCTCAACAAGCACATCAATGGTACCATAAGTTTGCGAAACGGTTGGTTCTCACGCAGCTCAGTTGTTAAATTAACAAATTTTATGCTTAAATGTAAATGACGGTCGAGTTTCCAACTCTGTCAGTGGGAAAACCGGTTGGTTGAATTTCAAGCAGCCATAGATACCTGATTTTTATGCGTTTTTGCCTAAATGCAAACTGCAAAAACGCATACCGCGACGACCCTGTCGGTATGTGTACGTATGTGTATGTTTGCGTGTGCGTGTGTGTGCGTGCGTGTGTATTCGTCTATCCGGGTATTTCAATTCGGCAACCAAGCAAGCTCCGGCGCCAAAATTTTGCTAGTGGGTTCCCCGCCAAGTACCACCTCAGGACCGTGGTACCAACCCTCTGGCAAGTCTGGGCCCCGTATACGAGAGAGTGAATACCATAAATTTCATACAATAAATCCACATCTGTCTATCGCTCATTTTCTCTCGATCTGTTCCTGCTCACATTACGGTTTTGCAGTAATTTGTACAAAAAAAGCCTATATCACTATAATGAGAGCTTGCAAACAAACCAGATCACTGCAGTTTTCTACAAGCTTGGTGAAAAGTGTTATAACCAGTATCAGAACTTCTTATAGTGCTGCTGGGTCTCATATTAATTTCTGTTATTCTGTCAGGTTTGGACGATGATGCAGGTCTAGGGCCATCTTCACAGCAAGCTGCCCTTGTAGCCGCTTACCGGGTCGAACAGCTTGCTGCTTTGGAAGCCCAGCAAAGGCAGTTTGAACGAGCGCAAAGGTGAGAATTTCAAGGGTTATTTTGAAAGATGCTTTGTTAAGCGTATTTTGACAAGCTATTTCTGGATTCGAAATTCGTTCTGTCACTTTGGCAGACATCGCATCTCATTGAATATGTTGTTACCATCCCTGCTGCGAAGAAAAAATTGGTGGTGACCCAACAAACCATGAAATGGCACGCCGCAGGTGTCGACAAGCTGCAGTACATTTTTAAAGAACCAGTGTGGTTCCAGCATGATATGAGCGAAATTTGCAACAGAGTGCACGCCGAAAGAAGAATTCTTGTGCCAAGAATAAGAGAGGCAACAAATAGGCAAAACAGATTAGTGAAAGTCAAAAACAAGTGTTAAAGAAATACAGAAAAGGGTGCCAAAAGCGGGGGGAATTCTATCGTATAATTATTAGGATTTTCGAGGATGAAAAAGTCCCAGAATAGAGAAAAATGAATTAAATTCTCTGGCACTATTGGCAAGAAGAAACGCGATGATGAAACAACAGCTAATCAAAGTGAGTGTGCTGTGGTTTAGTTTCAACTTTGCACGAAAATGGTATTTTAAGGTGATTTTTAGGGCTGCTGTAGAAGCAGTGACCCGGCATTCTGCACATGTCAGCAACAACAACAGCAGTAATTGCAACAACAATAACAATAACGTTAATAACAGCACAGGAAGTAGCATGAGCCTTTATCAGCACCAATCGGGTCGCGAATCAACTTCATCCACCGATTCCGATGGTGTGTCGCCTGCCAAACGGGCCCGAACAAGTTCCTCCACAAACGTGGCTGCAAGTGGCGGAAGTGCGTCTGCCAACGCTGCTGCAGCTGCTGTTGCTGCCGCTGCAGCGGTTGCTGCGCTGAACGATGAAAATGGGCTTAGCAATAATTTATTATCAAATTTGGCCACTGAACGTCTGTTTGGAGCGGTACCTTCAGCGCATTTAAAATTAACAAGTCGAGGAGGTAAGTTTTTTCGAAGCTAAATCAGCTTTTACCGGAAATTGATGGGAGGGGGCTGCAGTAGTGGTTTGCACTCCTGCGAAAATGGAACTGTTTGTCTGTGTTTACAGCTAAGGGATGAAAGATAGCCCGAAAGACATCCACACTGAGCAGAAACCAAGTTTTTTATTTCTTTACCAAGAAATCAAGAAATAAAAAGCACCTTTGAACCTGCGATGTTATAGCACGAATGAGCTCCATGCTCTGAGTACACTCCAGCCAGCTTGCTCAGCTTTGGTACCTGTAGTTTTCATAACGTAGGTGTATCATCCCTCATTAATCGTTCAAGTGATCCCTTTTTGTCCCGTGAGTATTACTGCCTGAGGCACGACAAAAAAGTTATTTTTAATAATTGAACTGATATTTTACTTAGTAACGCTACTGGAGCTTTTGAGGGCTGAGGCTGCTGATGAAAGATGTGAGGACTGAATGAATCCAAATTACGATTTTTTGAAATTTTTTCCACATTTTTATACCTCTTCTCTCCGCGAAGAGACGGCAAACATACATCGAACAGACGGTGGATACGAACTGGAGGTATGAAAGATCGAAGGGCTTGATATAGCTGCACCAGGCATCTTTGAGCGTCTTAATAATTTCACTAGTATGGGATACCTCTACTGAAGGCCGAGTAGTCTTTACAAACTCGAAGAAATTTTAAACAGTGATTGTTCACAATTTCCAACTTTCCGTTAATCATACTTTTTGCCACTGCTATAATTAGCCTCATGATTTCAATCAACACTCTAACAAATACGCTCTTTAGTATCAATATTGTTAGGGCTATCATTCCTTCATGTCTATTATCATTAATATTGCCACTGCTTCGGCTCTTTTTCAATACTAGGTTCAGTTTTAGAGAATTCTCTTGTGGTTTCGATGGAAATCAATGGTACCATGTATCAGGGTGTGTTATTTGCGCTTGGTGGCTGTGGAGCGGGTGGTGTGAACAATTCGCAGAATCCGTTTCACGGGGCTACCGACGCAGCTGCACTGGCCGCTACGGGCTTAAATCTAGCCACGACACTCAAGAATCAATTATAGTCGCTGCTTTCCCTCTGCATATAGCTCGTAATTCATGTAAATATATGCGTACTGTTTGCATTTTTGAGAAACCTCCCAGTGATTCGGAAAAAAATCCGGTCCTCCAGAATTCCTTTAAGCTGGGCGTCGCTCATTATTGAATGGTACCCTCAAGAAAGTGAGGACTATTAAAGCGAGCCTCCAGGATGAATGAGAGCCAAAATCACCAGTTGTTTTCTGATAAAAATACTCTTCTTTTGTAAAACAAACGGCTTTTTCAGCAAGTAGGCTTTTTTGTGGTTTCCTAAAGGAAAATCCAAAAGCATTTGGCGCAAACGTGCCGTTGGGCAAACGTTCGCGATGTAAGGGTGTAAGAAAATTTGATAATTTTAAAACAAAACAGTTCAGGAAAAGATTTACATAAGAACAATAATATTAAATGATAATTTGAACTGTACTGTGGGCTGCAATTTGATCTAGTCTTCCAGTATTAATCGCATTTTATTCTCCTTGCTGCTGTTGGTTTGTAACTGTTTTTTTGTGTAGCAAAGCTAGTAAACCTTTTTTATTGTTTTAAACTTATCATCAATATAACTTTTGCTTTTGTGGAAGAAAAGTTAATAGTAACAAATATTTTTGCTATTTTAGTAGGTTTTTGAAGATGCATTCGACAACTCTTTTAGTACTCGAGTTTACGAATTATGTCTAGATCGCTTAGCAATGCTTGAGTAGGTCGAAATCCAAGCCTGAAATAGCGGAATTTTTCTATTTTACAGCGCCATTTGGTGACTGCTGTCATGTTAAATATTAAAGTAAATCATTTCACGATTCGTTTAAACGTCTCTGGGGTAAATTTGTACCGGTGCATGCCAAGAAATATTATTTCCTGTTCTTAAAGCTTCCCGCTTGCCTATAAATAACCTTTGAATGTGGCATTCATTAATTGGATTGCCAGCAAGTGGTTGCTTTTGGCGATGACTGTCACTCAGGCTAATTTCGATTGCATCTACATAGACACGGAATAAAGTACGAGATGGGAATCTATATATTCGTTTATTCCGTTTTAGTGAATGATACCTGTGTAAAAGAAATGATCATTCTGACGTCCTCCTAACATGGCGCACATACATAAGACCGTAGATGCAGCCCTCGGGATCGTAAGGCCTGGCACAACGCACTCATATCTACAGATTTTGTCGGGATAGTCTCGGTTGTCTTGATATAATAGCACTATGGTTTTCCCCGTCATCCCTGTAAATAGTGTTACTAGCAAATTCATAAGTAAATGCGATTTACTTACTTTTCCAGTATGAGAATTCTCATATTAAGCCAGATAAGACAAAAACTTGAGAATTTTCAAGTGAGCAATCGCACCTCTGTAGGCACCTTGATTCATTATATATTTACAAAACGGATTTAGTTTTTTTTAAGAAAAAAGGCGCTGCTTTTTAAAGTGCATTTTTATGATTGCTTTGAATTACTGTCGGTGATAAGTTTGTAATTTGTGTGTGTGTGATAATTCACGTTGAGAACTGTATTTGCTCTTTGATGTTTTCCCTCCACAAAACAGATTAAAAAGATCTAGCTTATTTTGTGGCTATGGCATACCTTCAGTGTGCTCAACATATTTCATCCCGACGCGCATACGCGTCATTCTTCCAAAAAACTGGAAAAGAAAGTACAGTGTGGGGACGTGATGTACTTAAATATCAGCACAGATCAGGACAGCAGAATATACTTGTCGTACTGTTGCATTCTTATATTAGCAAGCACTGTAAGGTTGCAACCTTTACCTACCTGCGTTAAAACGAAATAATTGGCCAACACACGGGCTGTCCGTGCGAAGATGCGTTTTTTGCATAGTTCCCCACAGTTTTTGTGGCGTTACCGGCATCAGTTTTTTCGGCAAATCCTTCTAGCTAAACAAATTAAAACTGGCCGCCAAAACTGGCAGAAAACAGCCCCTTAAAGTTTCAGCTTTCTGGCTTTTCTGGTTTCTGAGTTGGCAATTTACTGGAAAAAATTCTTCACGAGTCCCCACGTGGGTACCACGCATACCCAATATCTGAGTTTCAGGTCGTTGGGACTTACTTGGACGGGGAACATCTTCCTAGAACTGCAGTCTTCTAGCTTTTCAGGTTCTCGAGTTATGAACTTACCGAGAAAAATTTTGTTGGGCCCGTGCGTAGGTACCACGCATGAACGAGGGCTGGGTTTGAGCTCGCTGGGACTAATGTGGGCCGGGAACACCCTCTCAATATTACAGTCTTCTAGCATCTCAAATCTCCGAGTTATGAAATTACCCGGGAAAAATTTTGGCGGGGACATACGTGGGTATCATGCATACCCAGGAGCTAGGTTTGAGCTAAATAGTACTTACTTGGACGGGGAACATTTCCTCAAGATTTCAACTTTCTAGCGTTTCAGATCCCCGAGTTATGAACATACCTGGGAAAAATTTTGGTGAGCTCGTACGCGGGTACCACGCTTACCCGGGGCCAGGGTTTGAGCTCATTAGTACCTACTTGAACGGGGAACATTTCCTTAAAATTTGAGCTCTCTAGCTTTTCTGGTTCGTGAGTTAGTAGCTTGCCTGTAAAAAAATTTGATGGACTCTTACGCGGGCACCACGCTGGATAGACCGCCCATTTTGGGGATGATCGCACGTATGTGCATGTAGATTAAGTTCCCAAAGTTTCAGCCCTGTAGCTTTTGTAGGTCTCGAGATGAAAAATC